CACCCACACATTCCGCTCAAAGTCGGGGCTTTCTTTTGGAAGCTTGCATATGGGGCTATACCCGTTGATTTGGCCCTGCAAAAACGAGGTTATCCATACCCATCCAAATGTAGGTGCTGTGAAAAACCTTCCCAAGAAAGTTTGACACACCTTTTCGCGCAATCAGACGTCGCAAGAGGGGTTTGGAAATATTACGCTGATCTGTGGCTTAAACCATGGATGTATGGTTCCATGCAACACCTGATCAAAGCTTGGACACATGACTTTAGGAGGGACACTCAAGAGGGTTTAATGGCACTTGGCATTTTAATGATAGGTTGTTGGGAAATTTGGAAAAATCGTTGTCGAGCAGTATTTGAAGATATTCCGATGAACACGGCTACAATTATCCGAAACATCTTTCCTTCTCTAGTTACTTTAAACGATATTATGAAGGTTAAATTGCCAACATCTCAGATCGGTAGGCAAGTAATGCAAGCTCTTCGGCTTCCACTTAAAGCTCCGTTTCTTGGTCGGGGTATATGGGTTAAATGGATCCCGCCAGAAGCTCGGTATATTAAAGGCAACGTGGATGGTTCCTTGCATGGCACTGCATGTTCAGGGGGTGGTCTCTTTCGAACCCATGATGGTCATTTCATTCATGGTTTCTCTCATATATACGGCCCTGGTTCTCATATTTGGGCTGAAGCTTCAGCAATTCTCGATGGTTTGCAGATGTCTACGGAAATGGGTTTCGATAACATCATTATCGAATCGGATGCCAAGCTTGTGGTGGATATGATTTACCAAAGATCAGTTGTTGCGTGGGATTTAAACTATGTTGTTCAGGGTATACGACGGCACCTTTCGGCGAATCGACGAGTGGTTCATACGCTCAGGGAAGGCAACTACCCGGCAGATAGTTTAGCCAAATTGGCGCATGGGCATCGTATGAAGATCAGATATAGATCTATTAGTGAACTCCCTTCCTCAATTAAGCGGTTAATATTAATGGATAGATTAGGTTATCGTAATTTTCGTAAAGGTTGCCATAAACCATCAAGTGGTTCTTCCGATTTTTTATTGCCATTGTAGGGGTACTCTTTTTTCTTGTGTAGGCCCACAAGGTTTTAACGAGGCCCCATTTGTTCTAATAATGGAATAATAAAATCCTTTTTGGCCAAAAAAAAAAAAAAAAAAAAAAAAAATTTCTACATCGGGTATATTAATGAACTATGATGAAGCATAGTCGATTAAGAATCTGGTACTAAACATAGCAAATGACAATTGCAAAAAAAAAATGCAAAATCAACTATATTTTACAAAATACAAAAAATATACAAACATTATAATTAATGTGATATTATTTGTGACTCCTTTGTTCTAATTGTTGTGGGCCAGGCAAATACTAAACTAATATAAGAAAGAAAGTCATATTTTTCATTTTCTTATTGTTGCGGCCTGTCAGACAGGTAAAAAGCCCAGGCACTAAACTAAAAAAATAAAGAGAAACATAAACAAAAATCAGGGTCTTAACCTTTTAGGGTAACTACGGACACAGGTAAGGTCAAATTATGAAAAGCCCCTTATGTTTGGATAATTATAATCATTTCTCAATTATGAATTTTCTTATACGTTTATCCTCACAGTGTGAAATTAAAGATAATCTTCTAGATTACGTGGAATGATATCTAATTTGTACTCGTTATGTGAAAAAAAATGCATTTTCCAATGCACCACAATCTAAAAATGTGCATCAAAAAATGCATTTTAATGGGATGAATTTTAATATGTGCCAAGAAACACATATTATGATCATCTTGTTTCGAAATATGGAGCTCAAATGGAATAAAAACAGGTACAAACTAGAAAATAATTCATATATAATCTAAAAGATTCCACTAAATTTGACACTCTGAGGGTGAACGTGTAAGAAGCCTCAAAGTTGAGGGGGTGATTGTAATTATCCAAAGAGGAAGGGGTTTTCATAATTGACCTTACTTTAGGGGGTGGCCGTAATTTGCCCTAACTGTTAACAAAAAAAAAAAGATTCTTAGAAGTTTGATTTTCGATATATTACATATTACATGTATATTAGAAAGAATATAAACTTGATTTCAGATCAACTAGTATTGTGCATCATACGTTGCACGGACGGATATTGAAAAAAAATATAAGATAAGTAAAATTAGAAATTAGTAAATATATATGATATGTACAATAGCAAAAGAATGGAATACTGAAAATGAAAAGAATTAGTGAAAAATTCCACTAATTGCAATCATAATCTATACATCTATTTTAACAATAAAATTTAATACACATACGTGTGCTATAAAAATGAGAGAAAAGTTAGTGCTAGAAGAGACAAAAAAAGAAGAAAAAAATAAAAAGAAAAAAACAAACGAGAAAAAAAATTTCAAAGTTGATCGTGTGTAGTGGTGGGTAAGGGGAAAAAAAAGAAGAAAAAAAGAAAAATAAAATAACTAAAAAAATGTTTCCTATAAAAAAAGAGAGAAATTTAGTACTCGAAGAAAAATGTGAAAAATTGACCGTGTTTATTGGGGAAGGGAAAAAAAGGAAGAAGAAAAAAAACAATTAAAGAAAAACCGAAACATGTTTTATAAAAAAAGAAGAAAAAACAAATAATTTTGAATGTGCTATAAAAAAGGAGAAAATAAAGGAAATAAATTCACAAAAATAATTTTAAAATTGTTTTTAGGGTTTCAGTGCAAACTTTTTTATATATATAAAGATTGAAAATATATATTACAGAAAAAGCTTAGTTTTACGAGTTTTATTGATAATTATGCAGTTTGGAAGACAAAGAGTATAATATTTTAATGATTATTAAATGTATTTTCGCATTGAAAATCTATGAATTATGGATATATATATTTTTTCTATGTTGTTATTTAGTTAAAAAAATTTAAATAAGGGGCCTCATTTTTCGACTCTCCCGTCTTCGCCTTGGGACTCTCAGACCCTAGGCAGCCCTTAGTATGTGGTTCGAGACAAATAAATATCAAGGAAGCATATCCGTTTATCCTTTATACTTTACATGGATCTATTTTATGTTAGCTATTTTATTTATTCTTCTCCAAATAAGAACCACCCATTTACAAATTTCACTGACCACAAATTTATTGAGCGACACCAAATATTTCTATGGATTTCTTCTTTGGCCAATTTCGCCTTCAAAGTGCCTATGGTACTGCTAAGTGTATATTTTACACTTAATGTATACTTTCTTACGAGAATTTTTGTATACTTTTATTGATTTAATGGTTCTTAATGAGTGGTTTATTGTATTTTAGGTACAACTTGACGATTTGGGAGTTCCAATGATGAAACGAGCCAAAAAAAGTTCAAAAAGGGGAAAATAACGGAAGAAAACGAAAGTATGCTGAAAATTGGCCCGTGCGGCCATGCCAAATTTAGCCTATTTTTGGCGCGGCCGCGCCAACTGCAGAATGAGGGCAGAAGGTTTCGGCGATTCTCGCGCGGCCGTGTTAGAATTACACTGATTTTCGTGCGGCCGCGCCAAAACACGCTGGAGACAATTTTGGACTTTTAATCACACAAGGAAACCTAAATTCTTCTACCAAGTTGGACATCTATTTAAGCCCAAACCAAGCACGAATTAGAGGACTTTTGAACACAATCTTAGAGCAAGAGGAGCGAGAGAACGGAGAAACGAAGACGGAGAATTGACAAATTTTCATCACAATTCTTCTCTCATCTATCTTTTCTTAATCTATTTCTTTTTATATTTTTATGATGTTTTTCATAGAGAACATGAGTAGCTAAGTTTTTAATCTAGGATTTTGTTGGAATCCTATGTGGGGATGGTGAACCCGTTTTCTTGAGATTATGCAATTATGATTTTATGATTATTTCTTCTACTTGTTATGATTTTTAGTGCGTAAACCTGATCAATTTATGTGCTTTATTTGTGATTATTGGGATTGACTCGACAGAGCTATTTTGATAATTAGACGGTAAGTAGAAGAGCCTTCGAGTAGTTTTCACCGGATGAGTGTGTTAATTACATGTGGTGTCGTAGACATACAGATATCACCTTAGGTAGCCATTTACGAGACTTGTTAGTTAATGCTTTATTCATAATTGGTTTGCATAGACATATAGTAAAACGTTTATGAATAATAGACTCATAATACACGGGACAGTGGGTTATGAGTAAATTAGTATCTCGGGTTAATAATCAGGAATCACATATTTCATAATTGAGGAGTTTTGGGTAAGCAATTCTTGCATAGGGGGAATATGAAATCCTAGATCCGTTTTTATATTGATATTTTATCGTGATTATTTGCGTTCTTAATTAGTTTAATTGTTTAATTGATTTAATTTGACAAACTTGCGTAGGCTGGATAAAAATCATAGTTGTTAGAATTTGGTACTTAGGATTAGATAATTTGAGTATTCCATGTGGGATCGACATCCGACTCTCACGAGTCCACTTTTACTACTTGTTTACGATACGTGCACTTGCGTGTTAGGTATTTAGCCCAACAAGTTTTTGGCGCCGTTGCCGGGGAATACGGCTCAATTATCTATTTATTCTAATATTAAATTTCAGCAATTTTTCTTACTTCAGCCGTTTTATTTATTTTATTTAATTATTTTCTTATTTTTGTTTTAGGTACTTTTTATGCGAAGAGGACGCAACACGAACTTGCTACCTCTTGATCCCGAAATTGAGGGAACGTTTAGGCACGCCAGACGAAACCAACAGTTAGCTCAAAACGTTCCCGCAAAAATGGATGAAGAAAATAATCGCAGGGAAGATGACCAAGGACGCTTACCGAATGCGGCAGGAAATATCATCAACGGGCAAGAGCAACTTCAGCTAATTAATCCACCACCTCGTCAACGAGCATTGCATGAGTACACCGTTCCAACACTCAATGGGTTTCAATCAAGCCTCCAGCAGCCCCCCATTGAAGCCAACAATTTTGAAATTCGAGCGGGACTCCTTACTATGCTCCAAAACAATGGGTTGTTCAGCGGATTAGCTCATGAAGATCCGCATCTCCACTTGGTTAACTTTCTCGAGACGTGCGACTCGCATAAGGTGAATGGGGTATCACCTGAAGCACTGCAACTCCGCCTTTTCAAGCACTCTTTACAAGGAGCAGCGCGAGAATGGTTACAAACCCGTGCACCGCACTCCATCTCGTCTTGGCCCCAGCTAGCACAATTCTTCATGAACACATACAACTCCCCAACAAAAACTGAGAGAATCCGGAGAGAAATACAAAACTTCATACAAGAAGCCGGTGAAGCATTATTCGAGACGTGGGAGCGGTTCAAACAATTAATTCAGAGATGCTTGAATCACGGACTTCAAGAGTGGCGCCAGCTGCAAATATTCTACGATGGGTTGCAAGATAATTCGAGGACTGTGCTCGACTCTGCAGCTGGAGGAATGTTCATGAGTTTGACCTATGACGAAGCATACGAACTTTTGGAGAGAATCGCTAGAAATAAATACACGCGGGCACTGGATCGGTCAAATAGCAGAGCCATTAAGATGGGAGGAATTTTGGAGTTAGACGGGGTCACCGCAATCACTGCCCTGTTAGAGAAGCTATTAAAGCAAGTAGCAGCTTTGCAGACTCAGCAAGTCCATGCAGTCCAAGGTCCCAACCAGTGTTTAGATGAAACAGAGTCTCTAAATTACGTGAATGACACCAATCTACAACAGAGAAACCCGTACTCCAACTCATATAATCCGGGATGGAAAGATCTGTTAGAGTAGGTGACCAACAAGTCAACTTGTGGTTGTGGTCTTTCGTATTTATTATGGTAATAAACGAAATTTTGTTTTGTATTAATGATAAAGCACCTTGGCATTCTATATCTTTGTCGCTTTGTCACAAGCATAGATATAGTCCTTACAGTTATTACAAGTACTAGTAATTGATCATTAGGATCGTGAGATAGTTACTTAAGTATTATAACAGTTAAACATGTTCCTAGTCGAAGGGTTACGCCACCAAAGAGAATATCAGCCTTTCCCATTAAGAGACTAGCACTTAGTGTATGTGTACTGCATCTCATCAGTAAACGGTATTGTGATATCGGCATGCATAAGTGGGTGCTCGTAAATTGACG